AGATTATGGTTCAGTGTTTTATGTATAATTGCTACTTTACTTTTGAGTCTTCTGTCCTGAAGGCTTTCTAAATTTAGTGATTTTACTAATGGTGTTACCCTAGTCAAATGTGAATATTCGTTTGTTATGAATCTCACTGCTCTATTTTGTGTTTGTTCCAGTTTCTTAATGTTTTCTTGAGTTGAGGGGTCCCACACGGTGGATGCATATTCTATTATTGGCCTAACCAAGGTTAAATAACATTTTAGTTTTATGTTCTTATTTGATTTATAGAAATTTCTTTTAATAAACCCTAATGCTTTGTTTGATTTTTTTATAGTTTCATCAATATGTGGATTCCATGACAGTTTTTCATTTATTATAACACCTAGGTATTTTGAGTTTTTAGTCTGTGTTACTGGTTTGCCATGAATAAGATAAGTGGAATTAATTTGTTTTAGTTTTTTTGTTACTCTTAACAACTGACATTTTTCTGGGTGGAAAGACATGCTCCAATTTGATTCCCATTTCTGTAATTCATCTAATTCTTTTTGTAAAATATCTGTGTCTTGTTTTGTTTTTATTGTTCTATATATTATGCAATCGTCTGCAAATAATCTGACTTTTGTTCCTGAAGTAATGCAATTTGGTAAATCATTTATGTAAATTAAAAATAGTAGTGGACCTAAGACTGTTCCTTGAGGTGCACCTGAGTTTACTGTTATTGGTGTTGATTTAGAGCCATTTATTATTACAGTTTGTTCTCTCCCTATCAGAAAATCTTTAATCCACTGATGCAGTGGACCGTTAATGCCGAAATATTTTAATTTTTTAAGCAAACTATGGTGGTGAACTTTGTCAAAAGCCTTGGAAAAATCTAGTAAGATAGCATCTATTTGTTCACTATTATCTTAACCTTTTGAAAAATCATCAATTAGTCCTATTAGTTGTGTTTCACATGATCTATATTTCCTAAAGCCATGTTGGTATGGGGTGAGGACATTATGTTTGTCTAAGTGGTTTATGATATTGCTACATATTATGTGTTCTAGTATTTTACATGTGATGCTGGTAAGTGATACTGGTCTGTAGTTTCCTGGATCAGATTTTTCTCCTTTTTTAAATAGGGGGGTGACATTAGCTTCTTTCCAGCCATTTGGTACTCTGCCCTGGTTAAGCGATGCCTGAAAGAGTATTTTGAACACTGGGGCTAGCTCATTGCTTAATTCTTTGAGTAATCTAGCTGGAATACCATCAGGTTCAGACGCTTTATTTGGTTTGGTGTTGGATAATAGTTTTTGAATTCCATTTTCTTGTACCACTAAATCTTCTATGTTGTCTACTTGGTTCAAATTAAGAAATATGTCTTTGTCTCCTGGGGCTGAGAATGCTGATGCAAAGTATTTGTTTAGGATGTTTGCTTTAGTTTCATTATCGTTATGTCTTATGTTATGTTCACCTTTTAATGGCGCTATGCCTGTTGTTTCCATTTTCTTAGACTTAATGTATGACCATAGGTTTTGGTTGTTAGCTTTAGATATTACATTGTTTATGTATTCACTCTGCAGCTGTCTGCTTACTTTTTGGGTTAGGTGTTTAATTTTTATATACTTTTTGTAAACTCTTTCTGCCTTGGTTGCTTTAAATTTTCTATATAGGTTTTCCTTCTGTTTACAAAGCTTCTTTAGTCTATTATTAAACCAGCATTTATTTATTTTGTTTGATGTGTATTTAGTTGGTATATGATTTTCTATAATGCTTTTAAGATGGTTTTTAATGAAATTCCAGAGGCCATCGACTGGTTGGTTAATGTCTTTTTCTAATAAGAATGTTTGTTGAAAGTTTAATGCAGCTTGGTGTAGTTGTGTTAGGTTACATTTATTCCAGAGTAAGATTTTTCTTTTGGTTTTTGTATTGGCTACTGCTTTTATCTGACTGTGTATTTTTATGATCTCATGGTCTGATAGACCAGGGATAATATCATAATCAACTACTAATCCAGGTCTGTTGGTTAAGAAGAGATCTAATGTGTTGTTTAATCTAGTTGGCTTTTTAATGATTTGATCTAAACTTAGGTTGTGTAAAGTTTCTATGATGCAATGGACCATTAATGCCAAAATATTTTTAATTTTTTAAGCAAACTATGGTGGTGAACTTTGTCAAAAGCCTTAGAAAATCTAGTAAGATAGGATCTATTTGTTCACTATTATCTATACCTTTAGAAACCTTTATTTGCACATTACTGTCGATAAAGTCACAATTGAACGAAATAATAATGTAATAAGTAAAGCGAATGTGTCAATGTAAAAATAGTGTGAATGATGCTATCAAATAAAAATAGCTAATAGGCTTAAATCCATTTTTTCCAATTAAAACATTTGCTTGTAGGCCTACATATATTTGATTAAAATTTGAGATGAATAGACTTAATTCAACTTAATTAAGACATAGATCTAAATCTACACTAATCTAGAGTTAAAAACTGGCTTCATTCTGTGTTGCGCATGCGTGACCTTTTTCCATGAATGAATATAGGCCTACCTCAACACGGCTACGCAACTTTAGCGAACAGCGAACGAATGTATTAAAAATGCTTTAGAAAAACAAATTTGAATGTTAAATTGATTAAAATATCAAATAAATGGACAATAATTGGTATGTTTATGTGTTAAAGCACAAAACTATCTTTGCGAAAAGAAGTTTTATCATCTTAGAGTTCAATAAGAGTTTTAGACCTAGTGTCACTAATATAATTTATATATGCTATAAATTGAATTCTTTTATCGAGTCGCCCCGCCCCCTTTTCTTTAATGCCAAATGCAATCATTAGCAGAAATTATAAAAAGGAGAGAGGATTAACGTTTTCACTCTACCGCCCTCTCCCCTTTCCAGATGAAAAGATGACGTTTTAAAACAGAAAAGTCAAATGTGGCGACAGAGTTTATGTCACTGTATACGACTTTATCTTAGTTATTTTAAGAAAGACTTTGTTTTGGAAAATTTAGAATTCATACGAAATTTCTCACTATAAGAGTAACTATTGAGATGAGGTCTGAACCCAAATATTATTTTCCTAGTCATCTTTTCAACCTTTCTTCAAACTGATATTTTTCTGTTGTAAAAAAAAAATTGGGACAATAACTCACAACTTATGTTTGAATACTACTAATAATGCAAAAATTTTTAGTAAAATCTAATTGGTTCACTTTCTCCTTACAGCGCTCCCCCAGACCCCCTAGCTGTCAAGAGAAAGGCCTCAATATGGCTGTTTTTGTCTGCTTTTTCGCCGAAGGTTGAGAAACACTGTTTTTTTTAAACATTCTAATATATATATATATATACTGGGCGTTAGGGTTAGGGTTTGGAAAAAAATCACCCCCCCCCCCCCACTCCGAAGTTCTGGATCCGCTAGTGGCCCAGGCTCATTTCCATGAAATGATCCATAGTCGCTTCGCGACTGACGGAGGCCATAGAGACATAGACAATTTTAAAGATCAACCACAAAAAACATTAGGTTTTATTTTACGAATACTGTTTTAAATCATATATTATGTTTAAATTCATATACATTCCAACATTTGAAGAAATAATTGTAAAATAGTACAATAGTGCTGAAAAAATTAGATTTAACCTTCGAAAATAAAAATGTATTAATTCAAACTGTTTTTATATCCACTCGATTTGATAGAAAAACATCGGCCCTGGGGCATTTATGTTGATTGTGAGCTTTAAAAGCCAATTTGTACTAGGCTGGGTTCAGATTCTCAGAGTGAGCATGGTAGGCCTACTTTTTTCTTTCTATTTTAATTAATTTTTAAAATGAATTATACGATATAAGGTAGAAAAAAATGATGTCTGAATAGGCCTATATATATATTTAGATTCGTAGCAGAAAAACATGCGTTAGCGCCATCAATAGTTTTACGTTGTTTATCTAGCTTTTTTTGTTGTTTCTGTATCTTGAATGATGATCTTGTTAATAAGTCTTAAGTGTCGTGACCAACCCATTACCCAGCTCATGCAGCTTTTGTCTCTTTACAGTACTGAAGAATTTTTCCTTTCTTGACAAACAGCACGATTTACCACTATCAATTTATTACTTTTTTAAAAATTATTTTGTCTATTAAACTGTCGTGTTTTTTAGTAGGCATACTTATCATTGCTTCTTGTTAACAGCGCTATGAAAATTAAATGTTTTATCGCTTATTATATCTTTTAAATATTTAGCAGTGGCGTCACTACGGGGTACTGAGGATAGGTCCACACTGGATGACCCCACTTAGGGTGACAACCGATTGTGAAAAATTATATCTTGGCACAAGTAGTCACATTAAAAAATAAAATCTCTAGATATATATCCAAATTTGCTTAGGCTAATCTAGATTTATATATTTTATTTTAGGCCTTTTATTTATACAATTGTCTTAAGACATATGTCGGCTTTATGCACCTCACCATCTCTTGCATAATAGAATTGGCTACTGCTATCTCATTCTTTATTAATTTGTACGACTTTTTTTTTTTTTACTAGGATGAATAGTGCACCCAGCTTCCAAAAAAATATTTCATCGGAACGTCTCACTCCGTTATACTCTAACGTTGGAATGGACCCTTCCTAATACGGTGGTAGACTCTCAGAACGCAGGAAAACACTTGGCGGAGTTAAAGGCGCTTCATCAGACTACCTTGCTGGATGGAGAGGGAACATGGTGCCTCTCTAATAATATCTCTAGGAAATTTTTCAGATATAAAAATAAAATAAAATTACATACAAAGCACTATATATATATGGATATATATTCGCAATGTAATATAAATATATCTCTGTTCCGTGTGATATTATTTTATCAGTTGGCCTAACAATGAACTCTTCTTTTTGTATGAAAGAGATAATAGTGGTTTTTAGCTTCTGATATTGATGCTGAAAATTGTGAAACCTGTCTTTTTACCTGATTGAGTAACCTTGTCGTTGTTTTTTTAATATTGACTAAAAGTATACTAAAGTATAACAACTAAATAAAATTCAATATTTGTACATTTTATTGTAATATATTTCTTAATTTCTTGGACGTTAAAAAATACAGCAACATAATGACAATATAAACTCAAGACACTTCTTTTATTTCAATGTAGGTATAGAGACATCATTTATTTGATTCACAATGCATATATATTGGGAGTGGGGCCAAAGCATTTAAAACGCACATTTACGAAAAAAACAATATCAGCAGAATGAAACACAAATCACAATTGTCAACATTGGCACTTATTTTTTTTGTACACATTTTGCGTGTCCAGGTTTGACTTTATCTCTACAACAGAATACACAAGCTAGAGGGAAACAAAACAACAGATATCCAAAGTTGTATGCAATATGTAGCAATAGAAAATCAGTTTGGTCCTAGACAAATGCAGTTATATAAAGATTATTTTGGTGTTTAAATGGGTGAACTGTTCACAGAAATATAAGAATCATATTTCTGCTAGTAATTAAATTCTTGCACTAAATATTATGTAATGCTTTTTCATCTGTTCTATATAATCTACCATTATGCGTCTTAATACTGGAAATGAGTATGTACAAAAGAAGTGGTTAAGAAACTCTTTGAATATATAACTAGTTATAAAATAAAGAATACTCAGGTATGTACAGGTATGACAGTCCTTATTAGTTGCATAATAATCAAAGAATTCAAGTTCCAGATCAATAAAAGCACCAAAGTGAAAAATAAATAATGTTGATTGCAGTGGACTGAATTAAATGATTAAAAATTCATTGTGACCACTGAGTCCTCAAGTCATACCTTGATGGTCACAAAGCTAGTCATGCAAGGATGAATTAAGAAATGGCATTTTAATGGTATGGTAAACAAAACAACAACAAAAATGCAGAGGCCTGAGGTCATGTCAAGTCAGGTAGTTATTTTTTCTCTCTGTAAATGGTCATCCTAAACAGTTGTAACAGCAAAATGAAGTTGACATTGTTAAATTCTAAGCAGAACCTCCATCAGGATAGAGGGGGTGACAGTAAACAGGGTTTGAACTTAGGACTATCATGATAACAGCAAAATATGCATATACAACAAAGCAATCATCTCCTGTACATTAACAGCACCATAACAGCACTGGTAAGAATTCAGAAAAATTATCCAAGTTTTCAAATTCTGATTCAATGTAATAATCATTATTCATGGAGTATTCAAGTTCTGATTTGATGTAGTATTCATGTAATGTAATGCACTATTACACTTTACATTGTTTCGGTTGAGATTTTTGGAAGAAAAGATTAAGCTCTATCTGCTTGTCTCTTGCTTTCAGAGCACTGGAAGTTGAGTAGGGATATCCACTTGCTTCTAGAGATAACTTTTTAAATAAAATAATCCATTTCAAATGTACTAGCACTTATAGTTATCAGTCACTCATTGGAACACTGGAAATATTAAAAAAAAAAAAAAAAAAAAGAAGCCAAACATAAAACTAAACAAAAGCACACAAAGTCCAACAAAGTAAAACGTTAAAAAAACAAAACACTCCCAACATATTTTCAAAATGAAGTTACTGAAAAGTCTCTAAATATATAGGCCAAGAATTACCTATAAGAAGAAATTAACATAGTAATTATTTGAAAAGACCACGGTATTATTAAAATAAAGTAACTAACACAGTATCTTTTTTAAATAAAGTGACTAACACAGTATCTTCTAGATGTGAGACTGATGCAATAGATACACAATACACATTCTATGAACAGTAATTGATGTCTTTATTGAAATAATGTTACAAAATATCTTTATCACAAAATGACTTTATTTATAAATGAAACTTTGTACAGAAATGTATCAAACTATACAAAAATATCACAATATGATAATTATGAAATGGCAAGGTATAAAGTTTGAAATACCAAATTTGTTTAGTGTAAATAAAATATAAAGCTATATTATTTTACTGCCAGCATAAATATTTTCATGTCACATCTAAAGCACAAACTGTAGATGCTCTTGCAAGTTAATTGTACAACTAAAAAAATGCTATCAAAGAAACTAAAATGTAAAAGATACCTTGTACTGAACTAATATTTACAATTAAAATAGGTATTGATTAGCTAGTAAAAAAAATATACTTTCTGATGATTTATAAAAAAAAAGTTTTTTTAAAGGAAGAATAAAAAGAAAAGTATTATAGAAAAAATGTCTTATTAGCTTTTTTAGAGCAGGAATTTCCTGTTTAGTCACCTTTTCAAATTCTAGTCAGTGTAACCCAAAAGTGGAAACCATTTTTAATTACTAAGGTTATGCTATGCAAATCAGAAGTTGGTGCTGTATACTATAAGAAAACAAAACAAAAAAAGCAAATAAAAAAAATTTGTATAAGTAATAAATAATTTAATAATCACAAATTACTTTAAATTAAAAGCATTAAAATCCTGTAATTTGAAGTTTCTTGAAATACTCAATGCTTCTCAAACTGTCATGTAGGTTTGTTGGGTTCACGGAAGGAATGTTTCTAACTGGATGCAGAACAAAATCCATGCATCATGAGGTGGGGAGCCATCTCTAAATAAGGGAAAAAAATATTATTGGTCGCATGTTTTAAATGAAGTTTATAACAAAAAATGTAAACTGAATTTTCTAATCAATGAGGTAAAGTAAAACTCCAGTGGAGTGAACGTGAAAGTCTTGAACAAAACTTTTACATTCTGATAAAAATATAAAGAACTAAAATAGTTATGCAGATATGATGATTGCACAAAGAAAGATAATTATATCATGAAAACTAAATATGCTAAATGTGTGAATTATTTCAATGGAATATTCAAGAGAACATCTACAATCATGTATTTAGCCATATTTGTAAAATGTATAATGCTTATGTCTAAAAAGTATTTTATGGTTTTTAGTAAATATGTTCCTAAAAATAATAAATTTGGATACTAAAGCTAGTTCTTAAAATTCTTAATGAAAACTAACAGCACCAAAATAAAATATATATAAAATCTGCCTTCTAATAATTCTACACTGCAATGGACTATCATCACAAACAGATTTTTCTGCTGTAAATTTATTTCTCTTAAAAAATTTAGATTTTCACTGACATGATAGCTTGTTAACAAATTGTGTATAAATGTAAAGCTATAATATTGCATCAATGAGTTAATCTCCAAAATACATATTTCTAAATATATACTTGTCCAAACTGTTGGATCAAAAACCTGCCCAGGCTAGTTACACATAGAACACAAGACAAAGTCTTGATATTTAACTAACATTTGCAATCATTAAAACATTCATAAGTATACACACGTTAACACAAATAATAATGAAAAAGGTGAAACACATTCCTTTAGAGTGTGCCATTCTATTTCAGTGAGTAATCCAATCAGAATATAATGATACTAACATTAACAAAAATTACAACTTTCTAGATCAAAATAGCTCCTTTAAGAGTAGACATTGAATTTGACATTATCATTAAATAATTATTTGTGGAAAAAGATTTGATCTTGTCTGGTACTGATTTCTATAGGTAACTGAATTACCAAGCAGGGAAAAAAATGCCTGGATTAAAAATGCTAATAATAATCTGTATTATCCTGAAGGAAATTAATTTCATTATAAAGTATATACAGATAAAATTATAGACAATGAAAAATGTTGGATAAAATATTGTCTACATTTAATGTTCAATCTCATCTGAAGATTGATCCTTTACTTTATTAATAGCTTAGTTTAATGATAAATATATTATTGGAAAAAAAACAATGTCTGTTTATTTGAAGTATTAATTTTTTACCCATTATACCCCAACATTTATTTACTTTTTAAAACAGTCAAACCTCAGTTTATTGATCTTTATGATTCCAGTGGGTTATTTCAATATATTCATAATTTCAAACAACTGATCTTTCAATAAAACTTTACGATGCTCTTTAAAAAAAAAATACTTGAAAGAATCCAGTTCAAGGTCAAGAGGATTGACTGTAGTGATATTCAAAAGTTACTACCTTATTAGCTACCATCCAGTTTTTGAGTGACAGGGTAAAGAGCACACAAAAAATCCTTTAGCTACACAAGACAATCCAAAAACAAAGCCAGTTCTTAAACAGTATAAAAAAGTAAGCATTGAAACATTTGCTAAGCCAGTGTTTCTCAACCTTTTTTTTCTGAAATTCCCATACAGTAGATTTTTTTAAAAAGTAGTACCTTCCTCCTTTTATCAATAAAATTAAGGAACTTTTTTTTGTTCTTTCTTAGATGTATCATTTACCATTTCCATTTTATTTTTCAATACAACAAATCCTGACTGGATAAGTCCCCAGGTTGAGAAACCTTTATCTTTCTAGGGCAAGAGTCTAGTAGTACCATGCTCACAATACAACATTGAAAAAGAAATATATACACCAAAAAGATAGGAATAAACAATCAATACCAAGTGATGTGGTAGACAGGAATCAAATCTGTAGGAAAGTTACCAAAAATATCAATTCCATCAACCCAAGAAAACAAAAGCACATAGGAAAATGAAACATCATGCTTCAACACAGCTTATAAACAAAAACATTCTAGTAATAATTACAAGTTTTAAAACTTAACTTCTATTTCAAAGCATTCTAAAACAGAAACTAAGAAACAAAATACTTACCAATTTACTTTCTGTTTTTGATAAAACATTTCTAGTCTGTTCCTCAGAAAATCTGACCACAGTCGCAATTACTTTCGTTAATGTCTGAAAACAAACGAGATATAAAAGCTATTTAAAAACAAAAAACTAACAAGGAAAGTTTGATAAACTAACAAGGAAAGTTTAGTAAAATAAGGAAAGTTTGATAAACTAACAAGGAAAGTTTGGTAAACTTACAAAGAAAGTTTGATAAAATAACAAGAAAAGTTTAGTAAAATAAGGAACGTTTGATAAACTAATAAGGAAAGTTTGATAAACTAATAAGGAAAGTTTGATAAACTAACAAGGAAAGTTTGGTAAACTAACAAGGAAAGTTTGGTAAACTAACAATGAAAGTTTGGTAAACTAACAATGAAAGTTTGATAAACTAACAAGGAAAGTTTGATAAACTAACAAGGAAAGTTTAGTAAAATAAGGAAAGTTTGATAAACTAACAAGGAAAGTTTGATAAACTAACAATGAATGTTTGGTAAACTAACAATAAAAGTTTGATAAACTAAAGCACAAAACAAAAGAAGTGGCAAGTCGAAGGAATTGTATATCTCTAGAAAGCCAAAGCTAAATTGCTGAAAATAATAGAGAATGATATAAAAACTATATCTAAAGCTTTAGGAAAAACAAATCTTGATTGCAGAATTTAACAGAGAACAATATTAGAATTATATCTAATCTAGCGACTGTTTAAAAAAAATGAATCACATTTTATTTTGAGCTGAGTGGAATGTGGAGAAAGATTAAATCTCAGACCTTTTAGCTAAGTAAGAAAATGGTCCTCATGTTCTAGGATTTGAAAGAATAAAGGATGACATACTATGCCTAGGGAGAGTAGGGACATTAAGGGCATGGTGTTATCATTTGAGCTTCTCAAAAACACTTGTGCCAATGATAGTAGGTATGTATTTCTGCTTTCAACTTAATACTTACACTTACAAGGAGCCAGTGGAATGCAAGCAAGACTGCTGATACTTTTCAAAAGAAGAGCCCGAAATCTAAATAACTTGCAACTTATGCCATTTTTTACCATAATAGTTTTAAACAAAATCTTAAATAATATGATCTCCCAATGCAACATATGTTCAAATGAGACCAAAATCTATATCAAATAACTTAAGTCTTTACAAAAGGGTATTGCACATGCCCATGATGCACCACTTTACTTATATAAACATTTAAGATTATAGAAGTTCAACATTTGATATTTTATATATTCTTTAAGTTACATTGAAGAAACCAAATACAGCTAACAAAAACACAAATAATAATTCAATAAACAAAGAAAACTTACCTTAGTTTCTTTTCCCATCATATATTCATAAAGAATGTTTTTTAAGTACTGTGTAAGAGAGAAAAAAATAAAGATAATCTTTTGCCACAAGTATACAGGCAGTCATATAAGTTTAAATGTTTAACTACTAAACAAGATAAACAGAATAGACTGTACCTCAAACTCTGTTGGCTCCCTAAACAAAGCAGAGTCATCATGGTTTGAGTAGGATCCATCAAGACTTAATGGTGGGTCATCATCATCAGGAAGACCTTTAGCTACTCGTTCCATTTTTTCTACCTAAAAATACAAATTTAAAAGGCAAAAAAAAAACAACTATAAATAACACTTGAAACTACAAGCTTTTCAAGACACAATGAAAATACAGATACAGGAACATAGACAAGGAAACTTGAAATGTATTTGTTAGTACCTTCTTCATTAAATCTCTTTCCTTGACTTTGTATTGGCTTAATTCTCCATTTAAATGATAAACTTGAGCCTAAAAAAAGGTAATGT